ATCCCTCACTCTATTCCTTGTTATGGAATTGAAGTTTAATTATAAATAATATGGTATTTTGTACAATTTATAAAATCTCGATAATTAATCACAGGTTACTAATGGAGACGGAATCAATTATTATTCACTGTTTATCCTATTTAATTGATTTTACAGTTTCAAATGTATAATAATACACTGGAGTTAGTATGATGATTCAGTTATACTTTTTTTATGCATGTATTGCTTGTTTTGCGTGATTTACAGTTAGATTGTGAAATTAGAAATTAAATATAAACGAAAATTTGTTTGATTAAGTGATTGAATGATTGGTAACCATACTGGATATCCTAGGAGATGGTGGACGGACTGGGTGCCGAACGTTGCCTTATACCGGACGGGTATCGAGGGTTGGTATTTTGGTATTCATACCAGATGGGGTATGGGAACAGCCTATTTCACCCTCATACCAGATGAGGTATTGAGGGATGGTATTTTTGGCGCTCATACTAGACAAGATATGGAGACGACCGGTTAGTTGACAATGTTGAATAAGGGTTCACGCATAGTGGAGACATCCCTATAGACCCCCACGAATAGCAGTAGACAGATAAAAAAGAAAAATTATTATTTTTACTTAATTGAATATGAGATTTTGATATTGTCGTGTTATTGCCTCTGTAGGTCAGTTTTGAAAATTTCACTACGGTAAGTGTACAATAAATAATTTTATTTATGATAAATGAATTTACTTAAATTAAGAGCTCTATTAGTTATTTTTATAATTTTTATCAAACTTCATTTCTGTATCGGTGAGTAGTGTGACATTCTTATTGGGTTAGTGTAGCTCACTCTTTTATTAACCATTTTAGATCAAAAGAACCAAAATCCAGATTCCGATCTACAAGATGGTTACAAATATGATGTCTAATTGTTTACTTTTTTTTTTTATTTCTTTGATTTTTCGTTGTTCATTTAGAATAGTCATTCTCGTATCTCTATTGAGTATTCTGAATTATTAATGTAAACCCTAACACTATTATTTCGCTTCCGAATTTAATTTATAATTTATTTTCTTTTCTAGTTATGGGTTGTTACAGTAGGAGTTTATCTTTTAAGAAATTTGATTTATATTTATCTCTTAAATAGTGATAAATTATTTTTAGAAAAATTGAATTTGATATAAATTTATTTTAAAATATTTTAAATTATTAATTTTTGAATTAATGAAATAAATAAAAATTTGAGTTTTTTTCACCTAAAGAAATCTCAACAATTAATTGTTCTAATTCTACAAATTTGATGTATATTACGTTAAAAAGTTACTTTTAGCAACCAAATTAGACCATTACTAATAATACTATGTAGTTTTTGGAATTACTGTTAATCGAATTTTTTCTAAGTTGAAACTAATTCTCTAGCAGTTAATTGCAAATTTGGGGTATATTCCTTTAAAAAAAATTAGTTTTAGCACCAAATTAGAATTATTATCGCTAAAAACTCTGTTTTTTTCAGAAAAATTAACCAACTTTGCATAATTTGACTGTAAATTATCATTCATTCAATTTTTACAAAGTTAAAATGAAGTATAGTATTAAATAAATTTGTTAAAATATAAGTTGTATAAATAAATTTTAGGAATAATTAACAAAGTATAATGCTGTTTGAATAAAAATACTTTTCATATCAACAAATTTGTAAATCTAAACATACAATCTCGTACTGAGTTAATGAAAATCATAAGTGAAAGCGTACCTGAATCCATTACAGAAGAATTGTTTGCATCCAGTAATAAAATCTTCCAAATCAACACAGCGTCTTCAAATTAATTTTTTCTGGTGACGAGATTTCAAAAAAATAAAACGTCAATTTTGTGATTCGGGGATTATAATTATCTTTTATATCGACAAATTTTTACAATTTTGATTTCGTCCATTATAAAATGATAATATTATAAAAATGATATTTACACATTAAAATTACATACCTAAATTTGATGCATTAAGTTTAGTATAATATTATTTAACTATATTTGATTACTTTTAAATGAGCTCATTAAATTGATAGTCTGATACGTATACCAAAATTCACATTAAAAAATCCAATAAATTCAATTCAATGAGTTGAAAAATAAGTATACATCACAAAGTTGATCATTTTATGTGAAACTACTCTTTTAGACGAATACTTCAAGCTATATTGGATATCATTATATAATTATTACACTTCAAAAAAGAATTTGTTTAATTATTTTTTTTATAAAAAAAACTAATACTTATCAATTTTGAGATACTTTAGAAAAAAATTGTGGTGTGAAAATCAACATCTACTATATCCAATTATTCCACATCCTGGACTAGAAGCTGAAGTCCCCACAAGACCTAACTTCATAAAGAAATCGGGATATGTACATTTTGTAAGGTTTAGGTAATCTATGAGGATATATATATATATATATATATATATATATATATATGGTTGCTTTGTCTCTATTCCCCCCATTTTTCCTCCTTTCTTTTTTCTTTTCCTTCCTAATTTTTTTTTATGATGATAAATTTACATGGTAAATGATTTTTTTTCCTCAATCTCATTACTTGAGACGTGATAGTATTTATTAAGAAAAATGATCTTTAAGCTTTGTCGATATATTATGATTATTATTGACAAAATCACTTATTTTTTAGAAAAAATAAAATAAAATGATTAATTTTTCAAAATTTGAACTACTGAAAAAAAAAAAGGCTGATTCTACAACATTGCAAAATTAAAATTTAAGTATAGCATTAAATAATTTGAGCAAAAAATGTCTTGTAAATATATAATTAGACAGTTGTCTCTATCGCCCATGGTGTAACTCCATCGCTAAAGCTGTGCTCAAGAGTAATAAAGAATATTATCTATAAATTTTATCAAGAAATTTACATTCAACTATCTTTGAAACATATCTATTAAACTCATTTTAATTCTATTAATATATTCACACTTTAGTTTATTTAACAACTTGAGAAAATCCTTCCAAATAGTAAATTTTGGTTGCTTATGAAATTCCATACAAAATAAAAAATATATATTTATTGAAATTTATAGAGCATTATTACAATTCTAAATAAAATTTTAAATTGGGTCAACTTTTGTCATTTTTATAAAACTTACATCTCCTTTTAA